ATAAGATGTATTGACTATATAACATAGTAATTAAGCATTGTTGACTTGATATCATGGCATTTAAGTTACCAGATATCAAAGAGAAAAATAAACACCACTGAGGTATTTGCCTCCTTCTTTGGGGAAGGTTTTAGTGTCCTTTCAGTTGTGCATAGCATAGTAGTTTCATGTGAGGCAGAATTATGACCTTGCTACTGTCTTTATTTGAAGGTTAAATATATTTAAGGAAATCATGTATGGGTGCCATGTTAATGATGACTGGACTTGTGGTGGTTTTTCTTAAGTGTCAACTTGACTGGGCCATGATATGTCCAGCTGTTGTGATACATTTTCTGTTGTGTCTGAGGGTGTTTTCAGAAGGTATTTTTACTGAATTGGCAGAATGAGTAAAGCAAGTGGCTCTCCCCATTGTAGGAAGGGCCTGAATTGAACAAAAAAGGTAGAGAATGGTTGAATTTGCTCACTGTCTGGCTGGTTGACCTTGATTCTGCTGACCTTGGTGATCCTGTTTTGAGAACTCAGACTTAGACTAGAATCTATACCACTCGTCTTCTGTCTCAGGCCTTGAAACTGCAAGACTGGCTCTTGTGTGTCTCCCACTCCAAAGCAACAGATTCTCAGTTTCCCAACTGCAAGAACCAATATCTTACAATAAAAATCTATATATATAGATATGGATTTCTCTTCTTACACGTACAACCATATTGGTTGTATTTATGCTGGAATGTCCTATATTACTATAATATGTCAATGTAAATGTAGTGAATTTCTTGCTTTTATTGAATAATAGAGGAAAATATGATGATGCTACTATTTGCTCTTGCCCTAAAATAATTCTCAGTTAGAAGGTACTTTCTCAGAAGATGTAATAGTCATCTTATTGCATTTGGAAAAACTTCTATATGAAATTTCATTGAGAAAGTTGGTCCAAAATAGATGCAACTTGAAAATTAACTTTAAATAACAAAGGTCCTATCCATTAATCTTACTCAGATGAGGCAATGGAGTTTTGATTGGTTATTATTACTTTCAATTGTGGTTATAAGAAAAAGTTTTTTAAATGGCCACAGTTCTTCATCCTTAGAAAAATAGCTCCACTGGAGACTGCATCCAGCTGCCCCAACAAGAAATGAAGTAAAACTAGAAGGTGGAAACCTTTAGAATGTTTGCACAGTGTATGTATGTAGGGGATAGAGGATGTGTAGAAACTTCATTTTGAGTGGTTGCTAAGTATCCTGATATTAGAAAAACTTAGTTCACTGATTATTTTAAAAGTGTTTCCTATGTGTGGTCGCAACCCAACAACATCTTATCTGAAATGTGGTCTTTCCACAGGTGTATATTTTACCTCTTACCCAACATGCCACTAATATGATAAATAATATACAAAACAGATAAATGTATAAATAACAGAAAGTGAAAACAGGATTGCATCAATGGAAACAAGATTTCGGTGAATTTCTAGAAGGTATACAGTAGTTGGATGGTATTGAAGGTGAAGCCAGCACAGGGGAATGTATAGACCAGACGGTGAGCACAAGACAAGGATGTGAGCCTGTCTGAGTGCGGAAGTCCCCAGCAGTCTGCTGTATACTTCCTCAACCTAAACAATAACTTGACAGCTACCAGACCATGCTCATATACTCATACTACTCATAGCTTGATGTCAAACTCCACATTAAAAAAAAGAAAGCCGATTAGGGAAAAAGACCTGTTCTAGTGGCAGGAGAAGTGCACAGTAGTAGTTTTATTATCATTTGACTTTTTGAGTCAAAACACTGAATAGATCTAAAAAACTCTAGGTATTTGACAGGAAATATTAGAAAATAAGAATATTATACATCAGCAAGAATAAACAAACTATGGACATATAGAATAACGTGAGTTTTCTGTGTTGAAAGAGAAAAAGCCTCTGGACTTTAATCTATCCGTTCCTTTCCCTGGGGTTTGGGGGAATGCCTCAGGGAAAGAAAAGAGGGTAGATGACCTCATCTAATCTTGTGACCTCCACCTCCAGAAACATAAATATATTTTTTAAATACTTACATGGTTTGTGTCTTTAAACCAAACATCTAATTAAGGAGCTTCACCCTGATATTTTGTCATGCTCTATCCAAGGAACTAATCTGGAGATAAGAAGATTAAGAACAAGTTTCTTTTAGTGTATGATGCTTGGTGATTGTTAGGAAAGACATTTAGGGAGGGGAGCTGAGCTGGCATGCAGGCTCAGTAATCTCCCTGGGCTTCTTACAAGACTGAAAAAGAGTGATGTGCTATTACTGCACTGTGTGTATTTGTGCTGTCAAACCATTTTAATTTCACAAAGATCTCATGAGTACTTATTTAGGACCATGTTTGCAAGCCACTATGCTGCCAGCTATAAAATACAGAAAGACTTTTAAATTGTAATCTGAAAGAGTTTATAGACCAAAATAAGTATTACAGAAGGACTATGTGGCCAAAGGAGGATATAGAAACCAGTAAAAGTTTGAAATGAGTAAACATTCTAGTCTTCTTCAAGGCAACCTGGAAATGCATCACAGAACTTTCGATATATCATTGGAGAGATACAAATACTATTTGTAATATTTGAGACAGTCCTGGAAAAATGATACCATTTCAATTGGAACTGAAGATGGGGCAGTTGAGTGGGAGAGATTCTCTGTAGAGAGACCTGTGTGAGGAAACACATACACCTGCGAGAGAGAGGCTTCCAGTAACGGAGATTGTGTATGACACAGGGTAGAATCGTAGGCGAATTGTAGAGGAAGACTTCAGAGATAAAGCAGTGTTTTATTTGAAAGTACGCCAAGTAATGACAGAGGTAATGAATGCAGGGTGAAATATAAATAAATAGAAGTATTTATATATCACATACTCTGCATATATAGAGATGTATGTATATATATACATATATATGTACCCATAGTTATGTATTGTATCATCTCAACGTACTCCAGAAGAAATGATCATGCATAAAGGTATGTATCTCTAGATAATTAGTACATATGCATATAATCACATAGCAATGACAGCCCATCGACAGTTCTGCTTATGAAGAATAATCTAGCATCTGTGTTTGGAAAGTAAGAGAATATCAGATGAATGGAAGGCATAACTAACTAGAGTTTTACAGAACACAGTCAGGCAGTTTTGAGGGGAGGGCCTGAGTGTTATCTTTAGGAGTATGTGTGATATTTCAGTGTTGAGAGAGGTACGGCAGAGATGGACCTGAAAGTAGTTCACTTATCATACTTAAATAGTATGAACTGTGAGGAAAACCAGCTTTCAAAAACTTTCAGAGCACAGCAGACCAAATGCTAGCTCGTTTTTGTGTCTTCACCAGCCATACACACTGGATATTATGACATCACATCACCTTAACAGTATTTCAGCACTGGTAATATGCAATAGTAATAAAGCACCTCGTTGTCAACAGTACATTCCTTTCACCTTTAACATATTACTGATTTCTTTATCTTACTAGCTTCATTTTTTTCTAACTCTAGGAAGATTGAGACCATTTCCTTTCTATTTTGCTCTTGCCTCGTCTTCTCAATGCCCATCAATGCTTAGTTCTCCATTCTAATCTCTTAGCTTTCTGAGTTAGTGAATCCTTTCAGATTGCCCAACAACATACAAACAGCTAGAAAGCAGCTTTTAAGGCATCACAGACTGTGAGGGGCAACCCACTTCTAGCTCCTCATAGAAGCGCACAGAGCTGAGAGCATCTCGTACAGTTGGCATCGCCCTACTGTCTTAACTCCCTTCTCAAGTTTTCCTCATTACTTTCCCATTCCATGTATCTCTCCGTGTAATGTGAGGAGTGAATCCCCACAAGAAGTGAAAGTCACTCACGACGTCCCAACTACAGTGGAATGAAAGAACCGATGGCTAGCAGAATTCCTGGGATCTGTATCTGATCAAACATAAACCTGCGTCCACCATGGGGTCAATGTGATATGAGTCTTCAGGTTTACAGTTTCATTTTATCAAACGGATCATACTCATGTACTTTTCAGAGATGCAGCATTATTTTTCCTCAATAATTGTGTTTATAAACCCACATTGAAGAATACAATCATGTAAGATGTTTTCCTATTGTTTCCTGCTCTATTTTAGTTTGATATGAATGCTTGATTAAAAATCCTTGTATGTTCTTTAGTAACATATGGAAATATTTCAGAGGGTATTAGATGCTAACATGTTAAGTCATTAAAATCTTAGGAAAATTGTAACGGAAAAATCTCTGAACATTAAGCAACACATAGCAACATCTAATCTGTGCAATTCTGTGACTGCTTTAAGTAGTGAGAACAGATATTACCCTGACAGCTATGCATTTCTCTTTAACATTTTTGTCAGTGAATCTGTGACTTTCTTATTTCTCATGCTGTAGATAAATGGATTTAACAAAGGAATTATGACCGTGTAAAATAGCGAGTCCACCATATCTTGATCATCTGATTGTGCAGATCCAGGCCGCACATACATGAAGAGAAGGGGGCCATAGTATAAAGAGACAGATAAGAGATGGGCTCCACAGGTGGAGAAGGCTTTCTTTATGCCTTGTACAAACTTCTTTTTTAAGATTGTAAAAAGCACTAGTGTATAAGAGACAAGAACAATCAGAATGGTGAATACCTGAATTGAACCAGAAAAAATAAAAGCCAACATTATATTAAAAGAAGGGTCAGTACAGGAAATCTTAAACAGTGGCATGATGTCACAATAAAAGTGGTGTAAAGTGTTGTTACCACAGAAGGTTAATCTGAATAAAAAACCTGTATGAACTAAGGCATGAAGAACACCACCTACAAATGATAAGACTAACAGCCGGATACATAGTCTATTGGTCATAACCATTGGATAAAGTAAAGGGTTGCATATGGCTACATAACGATCATATGCCATACTTGCCAAGAGAAAACATTCTGTGGTTGCAGTGACTACAAAGGAAAAAAATTGTATCAAGCATTCAGAGAAAGATATCATCTTACTCTTGGCGAAGAAGCTGACCAGCATTTTGGGGGTCACTGTGGATGAGAGTGACGTATCCACAGATGCTAAACAACCAAGGAAAAAGTACATGGGGATGTGAAGCTGAGCATCATTCCAAATGAGAGTAACCAGACCAATGTTCCCCACAACAGTGATGAGATATATCACCAAGAACAAGAGAAACAGAGGAATTTGCCACTCTGGTTGATATATAAGTCCTGTGAGAACAATCTCTGTCAGCAGGGTTGCATTTTCAGTATCCATGTCTTTGTTGGATGGTCCCTGAAAAGAAATTAAGTAAATGTACAAAGAACATTCACAAAGATATTATAAAAAGAAAACTCTAATAAAAAAAACTGCAATAAAGTCACACACTAATCACAATGCCCTTAAAATTATTTACTACTTCTATATGTGTGGAAATTATATTGGGGAATTGAAGTAATGGAAAATGCAATTATTTAACCACAAAGAACATACAGGAATGAACAGATTTAGAAGAATGAAAACACATCCTAAACATGAGCTAAAAATGGATACTTGAAATGTATTACAAAATTTCTGAGTCTGGTATATTGTTGAGGGCCTAGGGAAAAGAAGTTTGAATTATTATAAAATGAATTGAATGCATGTGAAAGATGACCTTGAGCCTTATTGCTCAGGCAATGGGCATGTCCCCAAAACTTGTGAGACAAGGAGTAGCATCAAAATATATTTTTAGGTTAAATATTTTAATATAGAAAATATGCTGCAGAGGGTGGTTGGGTAAATAGAGTCAAGGTTACCAGGTAGGCAGTTCTTACTATTGTCCAGTGGTTCCCAAACCAGATTACACATCAGAATTGTTTGGGGATCTTTGTGTACAAAATATCAATTGTGAAGCATTAATGTAAATGACTAATGTCTAAATACCTGCAATTTTTTAAACACCTTCCTGTTGATTCAAATGTATGTGAAGTTGAGTATATGCATGATATGATATTGGGAGTGGTGAGGAGGACAAACAGATACATCAAAATAAATTCGAATGTAGAGCCCCTGGGACTTGGTGAAAGATGTGAAGTAGGTGGTTAGTGAAGTACAAAGGAGACACTTGGTTGACTAGGTAGATGGTCATTCGAAATTGAGTTTGAAACCTTAGATGCTCTGAGAAGTTTGTGGAAAAGCCATCCTCTAAATATTTACGTGAAAGAGCTTTGTAGTGTGAGTCTACTAGAGCTTGATAGAAACAATGACTTGGGGTCATTGGGGTAACTGAAGGCATACTTATGCATACTATCCATTAAAGAGTATGCATAGGTATAAAAAGGAAAACCATGGAAAAAAATTTGAGGAACTCTATTGAAGAGGTTATAAAGAGATACATGTCACTTTTAATAGGTAAAAAATGAGTCTTGGCATCAGGCACAGGGTAACATTCACTCCAGGAGTCAAAAGTACCTGAAGCTGACTCTCTGTTCCCCCTTGCACCTAGCATGAGGGGATGGGATCTAGTTTTGATCTAGATTTGATCTAGTCAAACTCATGTACTACCTTTCACTAAGAATTCTTCTGGATTTATATTAAGAGCACTTTACGTCCACCAGCTTTCTTAGCTGGATAAAATTGAGCCAAAGATTGCAACTGAATATAGGGAATATAAATAACCAGTGCCAATGATGCTGGCTGTAATGTGTATTTTTTATCAGAGTGTGCTTCCTTCTGTGCAATCCCAAATCACTTAATAATTGAATACTCACAAACTCAATTTGTGTGTTTGTACTTATTAGGTCATAAATGCTTGAAAGTGTAGTGAAGGGACATTTTCTGAAAAATTTCTACAGTACATATGTTAAAATACTCACTGAAATTACTGCCAGAAAGAGAAGAAAGGACAGAGGAGCTGATATGCAAGTGATTGACCTTAAAAGTTTAATCAGAGAATGTGATAAATTAAAAGAAATGGATCTTTTTATTCAGAAAAAAACAGAAAAATTTCTTACATACGAAACATATTACCTAGTATTTAAATCCAGTTTACATTTTTAACATTCTAGCTCACCACAACTTATCTCAAACGTTATTATAATTATGTTAGAAAAATAATAGATCATTGTTAAGGGGAATAATTCAGTAGTACAGATATTTTGCTTATCCAGAATTAGTCACAAAAGTAAGATATGCAGATAATCATTAATTATTTTAGATTTCACTTGCTTTGGCATATTCTAAATCTCTTTAAAATTATTATAAATTATACATTATCTTAATTTTTTAAATAAAGAATGTCACATAATTCATTTTTCTCTTACCTATATCTTGAATGAAATTGCAGAGATCCTTTCAAAGAATTAGGCTTTCCAAGCATAAAAACGTATGATAGCAGTGGAATGATGATAGCATACACAGCAACTCTTTGTACACTGATTCATTTTGGAGGCTTCATTCGCAAAAATCAGAAAAATGTTGTTTATATAAATTTGCTTTGGATCCAAGAGTCAGCCCATTGTACACAGTATGTTTTTGCCAGAAAAGGAAGGAGTGCAGAACTAAAATTCCCCTAATAGCACCCAAGGATTCCCTTCAGGACAAAGTTCAGCTGTTCTTCTGGGTATTGTGGACTTGGACAAGCATGAGAAGTCCAGGGTGTCCCACAGGGCATTACAGACTCTAAAGTTGTAAACATCAAGTCTTGTAGACAGTGCTAATTTTAACAATTGAAATTGCACTTCATGCATCTGTTTACCCTGTCAGATGGCACTTCTGATGTGTTTATGCAAACTTCAGTTACTATAGTCTCCTCTGAGCTAATCATTTATGATTCTAATGAGGCCAAAGTTCTAGATTCCCCTCAGGCACCGACCCTAAATAAACTTGTCCTCCTCATGCAAACTGCAGCTCACATCCCAGACCTGCACCTCACTACCCACTTTAAGATGAAAACTGATGAGAAGCCTTACTAGGCAAAGGTCAGGAGAGGGCAAAGTGCAAACAAAGACAAGGACCATGGTGAGATGTGGCTCAGATCTGTGCTTCTCAAACTTTAACCCCTGTGAATCTCCTGAGACTTTCTTCAAATGCAGATTCTCTTTCAGCACGTCATGTGAATATAGTGAATATCTAGAAGAACAAATGGCCAGCTGTGTGATTATTTACCAATTCATGGGATATGGCCAATGAGTTGGCTGGGTGGTCAGGGACTGTGAAGAAATGTAACTAGAAAATTGACTATAATATGATTTGTAGAGGTACACAATGGATCTCTCTGAATGGGAAAAAATTGAAGATATTTCTGTCTCCTGAGAATGACCACCAAAGAGTGACCTAAGTAGAGTAAAATTTAAGTAATCAAATTAACAGGAGGGGCTTTTCCTGGACACCTGTCAGCTGCTTTCACCAGCCATTTCTCTCATCAGCTAATGGGGTCATGAACAAAGTGGCCAGGTGGCAGTGAATAGGTGATATATATGCTTGCAACATGGACTTCTGTTTACTAAGGACAACTTGGCTATGTCCATTTCTGAGTGTTTATTGTTCCAGGAGCAGAAAACACTGAGTTCCTCAGATATCACCATTCATGGAGTGATCACCCAGATACCTCATGGCAAGCTGAGTACACTGGACAGTTTCCATCACAGAGGGGAAGTGCTTTGTTCATACTGGAATAAATACTAACTCTAGATACAGTTTTGCCTTCCCTGAGGTCAGTGTCCTTCCATAGTGATCATCTGGGAATTAACAATTAACAGATTTCCTTATCTGCTGTCTTAGTGCTATCCAAAGTATTAATCAAAGAACACACTTCATAGCAAAAGAAGTGCAGCAATGGACTTGCAATCATAGAATTCACTGGTTATACCATTCCTCACCATTCCAAAGCAACTTGTTTGAGAAGAAGGTGGAATGCCTTCTTGAAGACTCATTTACAGCAGAACTAGATGGATATTCCTCGTGAGGACCTCAAGACGCTGTGCCTTTTCAGAATCAGTTATGATATACGGTACTGCTTGTCCCATAGCCACGCAACCAGAAACTCTAATGACGGAGCCTTTCAATATGTTGACAAGCTGTCCAGGTGATCCTCATGCCCACTATAGTTTGAAAACCACTCTTTCAAAGAACAACAAAGTGGAAGCTGGCACCAGAGAGATTCTGACATATGCCTAGTAGACGTATTTGATAAGATTTTGCCCAGCTTGCCCAGAGCCAGATTTTGAGATAGTATTGATTGGTGTTTGTTTCCTTTGCCTTAAACCAATTATGTTGTTTCTTTGAACACAGTCCAAGATATTTTTAAATACTTACTTCACAGTCAGCAATCTTCTGAGCAGTTGTGTATAAAAGATAATGGGAAAGGAAGTATGTATATATACACACACACACACAACATATAAAAAGAGAGGAACTATTAAGTTTCCAGGTTAAGAAAGCAATACACATTTATAATAAAGAGTGTTTCGTGTATATTATTTTTATTTCCAAGGAATGGTTTATCCCCACATCAGCAATGTTCCAGACAACTAAGTGAATTTGGCTTTGTGATATCATCTTTTATATCTAAATACCCACTAAATGATACATATGTAATTTCATAGATTCTTTTTTGAAAGAATGAGAAGATCTCATCTAAAATGTGGGGTTTGCTCAGGTGTATACTTTACCTCTTTCCCAGCATGCCACTAATATGATAAATAATGTACAAAACAGATACATGCATAAATAACAGAAAATGAGTGTGGGATCACATCAATGAACACAAGATTACGGTGATTTCTGGAAGGTATAAAATAGTTGGGATTCTACTGAAGGTGAAGCCAGCCCAGAGGGATGTATAGACCATACATTGTGCACAAGACAAGGATGTGAGCATGTCTGAGCTGAAAGAATGACTTGACAGCTACCAGACCATGCTCATATACTCATGCTACTCATAGCTTGATGTCAAACTCCACATTAAAAAAAAGAAAGCCAATTAGGGAAAAAGATCTGTTCTAGTGGCAGGAGAAGTACACAGTAGTAGTTTTATTATCATTTGACTTTTTGAGTCAAAACACTGAATAGATATAACAAACTCTAGGTAATTGACAGGAAATATTAGACAATAAGAATATTATACATCAGCAAGAATCAACAAACTATGGACATATAGGATAACGTGAGTTTTCTGTATTGAAAGAGAAAAAGCCTCTGGACTTTAATCTATCCATTCCTTTCCCTGGGGTTTGGGGGAATGCCTCAGGGAAAGAAAAGAAGGTAGATGACCTCATCTAATCTTGTGACCTCCACCTCCAGAAACATAAATATATTTTTTAAATACTTATATGGTTTGAGTCTTTAAACCAAAGATCTAATTAAGGAGCTTCACCCTGATACTTTGTCATGCTCTATCCGAGGAACTAATCTGGAGATAAGAAAATTAAGAACAAGTTTCCTTTAGTGTATGATGCTTGGCGATTGTTAGGAAAGACATTTAGGGAAGGGAGCTGAGCTGGCATGCAGGCTCAGTAATCTCCCTGGGCTTCTTACAAGACTGAGAGTGATGTGCTATTACTGCACTGTGTGTGTTTCTGCTGTCAAACCATTTTAATTTCACAAAGATCTCATGAGTACTTATTTAGGACCATGTTGGCAAGCCACTATGCTGCTGGCTATAAAATACAGAAAGACTTTTAAATTGTAATCTGAAAGAGTTTATAGACAAATAAGTATTACAGAAGGCCTATGTGGTCTAAGGATAATATAGAAACCAGTAAAAGTTTGAAATGAGTAAACAATCTAGTATTTTCAAGGCAAACCTGGAAATGCATCACAGAACTTTTGATATATCATTGGAGAGATACAAATATTATTTGTGATATTTGAGAGAGTCCTGGAAAAATGATACCATTTCAATTGCAACTGAAGATGGGGCAGTTGAGCAGGAGAGATTCTCTATAGAGAGACCTGTGTGAGCAAACGCATACACCTGCGAGAGAGAGGTGTGTCCCCAAGGCCTCCAGTAACGGAGTTTGTGTATGACACAGGGTAGAATCGTAGGCGAATTGTAGAGGAAGACTTCAGAGTTAAAGCAGCGTTTTATTTGAAAGTACATCAAGTAATAACAGAAGTAATGAATGCAGGGTGAAATAAATAGATGTATTTATGTATCACATACTCTGCATATATAGAGACATATGTATATATATATGTACCTAATTTATCATATAAACTCAGTGTACACCAGGAGAAATAATGATATGCATATGTATATATTTCTAGATATATACATTACATAGCAATGACAGCCTTTTAACAGTTACTGAAATAGAGTCCTGCTTATGAAGAATAATCTAACATAAGTGTTTGGAAAGTAAGAGAATATCAGCAAGATGGAAGGTATAAGTAACTAGAGTTTTGCAGAACACAGTCAGGCAGTTTTGAGGGGAGGGCCTGAGTGCTATCTGTAGGAACATGTATGACATTTCAGTGCTGAGAAAGGTAGGGCAGAGATGAACCTGAACAGAGGTTACTTACTTTTCTTATATAGTGTGAAATGTGAGGAAAGCCAACTTTGAAAGACTATCAGAGCACAGCAACCAAATGCTACCTCTTTTCTGTGTCTTTCCCAGCCACCCACTGGACACTATGACATCACATCACCTGAACACTATTTCACAACTGGTAATATACACTTAAAGCACCTAATTGTCAAAAAAAACCTTCCATTCATCCATACATATTGATTTCTTTATCTTACTAGGTTCATTTTCTTTTTACTTGAGGAAGACTGAGAGCAGTTCCCTTCTATTTTGCTCTTGCCTCGTCTTCTCAATGCCCATCACAACATGGTTCTCCATTTTAACCACTTAGCTTTCTGAGTTAGTGAATCCTTTCAGATTACCCAACAGCATACAAACAGCTAGAAAGGAGCTTGTAATGCATCACAGACTGTGAGGGGCAACCCACTTCTAGCTCCTCATAGGAGCACACAGAGCTGAGAGCATCTCCTACAGTTTGGCATCGCCCTACTATCTTAACTCCCTTCTCAAGTTTTCCTCATTACTCTCCCATTCCGTGTATCTCTCCATGTGATGTGAGGGGTGAATCCCCACAAGAAGTGAAAGTCACTCACGACGTCCCAACTACAGTGGAATGAAAGAACCGATGGCTAGCAGAATTCCTGGGATCTGTATCTGATCAAACATAAACCTGCGTCCACCATGGGGTTCAATGTGATATGAGTCTTCAGGTTTACAGTTTCATTTTATCAAACGGACCATACTCATCTACTTTTCAGAGATCCAGCATTATTTTTCCTCTTAATAATTGTGTGTATAAAACCACATTGAAGAATACAATCATGTAAGATGTTTTCCTATCGTTTTCTGCTCTATTTTAGTTTGATATGAATGCTTGATTAAAAATCCTTGTATGTTCTTTAGTAACATATGCAAATATTTCAGAGGGTATTAGGTACTAACATGTTAAGTCATTAAAATCTTAGGAAAATTGTAACGGAAAAATCTCTGAACATTAAGCAACACGTAGCAACTTCAAATCTGTGCAATTTGTGACTGCTTTAAGAAGTGAGAACAGATATTACCCTGACAACTATGCATTTCTCTTTAACATTTTTGTCAGTGAGTCTGTGACTTTCTTATTTCTCAGGCTATAGATAAATGGATTTAACAAAGGAATTATGACCGTGTAAAATAGAGAGTCCACCATATCTTGATCATCTGATTGTGTAGATCCAGGCCGCACATACATGAAGAGAAGGGGGCCATAGTATAAACAGACAGATAAGAGATGAGCTCCACAGGTGGAGAAGGCTTTCTTTAGGCCTTGTACAGACTTCTTTTTTAAGATTGTAAAAAGCACTAGTGTGTAAGAGACAAGAACAATCAGAATGGTGAATACCTGAATTGAACCAGAAAAAATAAAAATCACGAGGACATTAAAAGAAGAGTCATTACAAGAAATCTGAAACAGTGGCATGATGTCACAGTAAAAGTGGTGTATTATGCTATAACTGGAGAAGGTTAATCTGAATAAAAACCCTATATGAATTACAGCATGAAGAAGACCACCTACAAATGATAACACTAACAGCTGGATACATCGTCTATTGGTCATAACCATTGGATAAAGTAAAGGGTTGCATATGGCCACATAACGATCATATGCCATACTTGCCAAGAGAAAACATTCTGTGGTTGCAGTGACTAAAAAGGAAAAAAGTTGTGTCAAGCATTCAGAAAAAGATACCATCTTACTCTTGGCGAAGAAGCCGACCAGCATTTTGGGGGTCACTGTGGATGAGAGTGACGTATCCACAAATGCTAAACAACCAAGGAACAAGTACATGGGGATGTGAAGTCGAGAGTCATTCCAAATGAGAGTAACCAGACCAATGTTCCCCACAACGGTGATGAGATATATCACCAAGAACAAGAGAAACAGAGGAATTTGCCACTCTGGTTGATATATAAGTCCTGTGAGAACAATCTCTGTCAGCAGGGTTGCATTTTCAGTATCCATGTCTTTATTGGATGGTCCCTGAAAAGAAATTAAGTAAATGTACAAAGACCATTCACAAAGATATCATAAAAAGAAAACTCTAAGAAAAAAATTGAAATAGAGCCAAACACTAATCACAATGCCCTTAAAATTATTGACTGCAACTACATATGTTGAAATTAGTTTGGGAGTTGAAGTAAAGGAAAATGCAATTGTTTCACTACAAAGAACTTACAGAATGAACAGATTTAGAAAAAAGGAAAGACATTCTGAACATGAGCAAAAATGGATATTTGAATGTATTACAAAATTCTGAGTCTGGTATATGGATGTGGGCCTAGAGAAAAAAGTTTGAAATATTATGAAATGAATTGAATGCCATGTGAAGTACCTTGAACCTTATTGTTCAGAAAATAAGCATGTCCCCAAAACTCTTAAAACAAAGAATATCATCAAAAGGTATTTTTTAGATTAAATATTTTAGTATAGAAAATATACTGCAGAGGGTGGTTGGGAAACTAGAGTCAGGAATTCCATTTAGGCAGTTCTTATTATTGTCCGTTGGTTCCCAAACCAGATTACGCATCAGAATTCTCTGGGTTTCTTTGTGTACAAAATATAGATAGCGAAGCATTACTGTAGATGTCTATTCAGTGGGTCAAAAATGATTCAGTGGGCATTTTTTAAATGCCTTCCTGCTGATTCAAATGCATGTGAACGTCTGAGTGTATGGATGACATGATTTGCGAGTGGTGAGGAAGACAAAGAAAGAGATGAAAATAAATTAAAACACGGAACCACTAAGACTTGGTGACAGATGTAAGGAGGTGGTTAGTGAAGTACAAAGGAGACACTTGGTTAACTAGGTAGATGGTTATTCAAAATTGAGTTTGAAACCTTAGATGCCCTGCAAGTTTATGGAGAAGGCTTCCTCTGGACATCCAGGTGAGAGAGCTTAGCAGTGTGAGTCTACTAGAGCTCAATAGAAAATATGACTTGGGGGTCAGAGGGGAAGCAGAAGGCATACTTATAGATACGTGTCCTTTTGAAAGTGTACATCAGGTTAAAAAAATGGAAGTCATTGAAAGAAACTTTAGGAAGTTTATTGAAGAGGTTACAAAGAGATACATGTCACAGATAAATAAAAACTGATTGTCTTCCCACCACAATAGTCTTGGTATCAGGCAAGGGCTACCACTCACTCTAGGAGTCAAAAGAGCCTGCAACTGACTCTCCCATCCCCCTTACATCTACTGTCAGGGGATGGGATCTGGTTTTGACCTAGATTTGATCTAGTCTAACTCATATAATGCCTTTCACTAGATTCTGCTGGTTTATACTGAAAGCACTTTATGTACACCAGTTTTCTTAGCAGAATAAAATTGAGCCAAAGATTGGAACTGAATATAGAGGATATAAATAACCAGTGCCAATGATTCCAGTTGTTACATATATTTTTGTTTGGAATATGCTTCCTTCTACACATTCCTAAATCACTTAATAATTGAATATTCACAAATTCAATTTGTGTGTGGGTACTTATGAAGTCATAATGCTGGAAAGAACATCTTTAGTGGAGGGACAGGTTCTGAAAATTTCCTACTACATATGTGTTCAAAATGCTCAACGAAATTACCTTCAGAAACAGAAGAAAGGACAGAAGAGCTCATATGGAAGTGATTTGCCTTAAAAGTTTAATCACAGATATGATATATTAAAAAGACTGTATCTTTTAATTCAGAATAACCAAAAGTATTTCTTACACTGGAAACATATGACCTAGTATTTAAATCCAGTTTAAACTTTTAACATTCTAGTCACCATGACTTGTCTTCCATAGTTATTATAGTTATTTTAGAAAGATAATAAATCATTGTTAAGGGGAACAATTCAGTGTTACAGGTATTTTGCTTATCCAGAACTAGTCACAAAAATAAGATATACAAGTAATCATTAATTATTTTACAGTTTACTTCCTTTTGGCATCTTTTGAATCTCTTTGAAATCATTATAAATTGTACAGTCTCTTAACTTTTTATATAAAGAATAAAGAATGTCACATAATCATTTTTCTCTTACCATATCTTGTACAAAATTGCAGAGATCCTTTTAAAGAATTAGGCTTTCCAAGCATAAAAACGTATGATAGCAGTGGAATGATGATAGCATACACAGCAATTCTTTGCACACTGATTCATTTTGGAGGCTTCATTTGCAAAAATCAGATAAATGTTGTTTATATAAATTTGTTTGGATCCAAGAGTCAGCCTGTTGTACACAGTGAGTTTTTGCCAGAAAAGGAAGGAGAGCAGAACTAAAATTCCCCTAATAGCACCCAAGGATTCCCTTCAGGACAAAGTTCGGCTGTTCTTCTGGGTATTGTGGACTTGGACATGTATGAGAAGTCCAGGGTGTCCCACAGGGCATTACAGACTCAAAAGTCGTAAACATCAAGTCTTGTAGACAGTGCTAATTTTAACAATTGAAATAGCACTTCATGCATCTGTTTTCCCTGTCAGATGGCACTTCTGATGTGTTTATGCAAACTTCAATTTATCTGTATATTTTGAAGCTCAGTTGCTTCAGTTAGTATGGTCTCATCTGAGCTAATCATTTATGATTCTAATGAGGCCAAAGTTCTAGATTCCCCTCAGGCACCAACCCTAAATAAACTTGTCCTCCTCATGCAAACTGCAGCTCACATCCCAGACCTGCACCTCACTACCCAACTTACTAGGCAAAGGTCAGGGGAGGGCAAAGTGCAAACAAAGACAAGGACCATGGTGAGATGTGGCTCAGATCCGTGCTTCTCAAACTTTAACCCATGTGAATCTCCTGAGACTTTCTTCAAATGCAGATTCTCTTTCAGCAGGTCATGGTTGTATCTCGAGAACTTCAAGCAGTGCCTTTAGATATGCCCCTGTGTTTAGAGAAGAAATAGCCAGATGTGTGGTTTTTTACCATTCATGGGGTATGGCCAATGAGTTGACTGTGTGTTCAGGGACTGTGAAGAAATATAATCAGAAAGTTGATTACAACATGATTTGTAGAGGTACATGATGGATCTCCCTAAATGGGCAAAAACCATCTAGATATTTGTGACCCCTGAGAGTGATCAACAAAGTGTGAGCTAAGTAGAGTAAAATTTAAAGAATTGAATCTATAGAATGGGCTATTCCTTGATACCTGTCATCTGCTTTCTCCAGCTATTTCTGTTACCGGCTCTTGAACAAAGTGGTCAAGTGGTAGCAAAGGAGTTGATGTATGTACTCACAACATGAGCTTCCATTTACTAAGGACATCTTGGCTATGGCCATTTCTGAGTGCTTAATGCTCCAGGAGCAGATAACACTGAGTCCCTCAGATATCACCTTTCAGAGTGATCACCTAGCTACCTTGTGGCAAGTTGAGTACACTGGACATTTTCCATCATATAAGGGATGTGTTTTGTTTATACTGGTGTAAATATTCACTCTACATAGATTTGCCTTCCCTTATATCAGTCGGTCTGCCAAAATGATCGCCTTGAACTCAATAGAATTCTTTATCTGCTGTCTTAGTGTTACCCACAATGTTGCTCCTGATCAAGGAACACACTTCACAGCAAAAGAAGTGCAGCAATGCACTCATGATCATAGAATTCACTGGTTATACCTTGTTCCCCATCATTCTGAAGCAACTTGTTTGATATGAAGGTGGAATGCCTTCTTGAAGACTCATTTACAGCAGAATTAGATGGAACTTCCTTATAAGGCTAGGGTAAGGATGCCAAGAGATTGTGTATTTTCAGAATCAGAATATTAAATATGGTAATCTTTCTCCCATAACCAGGAATAGAGTGGTGAAAATAGGAGCAGCAGTGGTCACAATTGCCCCTCGCAACCCACTAGCATAATTTTTGCTTCGTGTTCCCTTGATTTTATGCTCTGATTCCTAGGTCTTAGAGCCAGGAGGAATGCTCCCATCAGGGCACACAGTAATGGTTCCAGTGAGCTGCAAGTTCAGACCGTCACTCAGTCCCTTTGGCCTCTACATACCTTTGAATCATCAGTCAAAGGGGGTTGCTGTGTTGTGTGGTGTGATCAATGCTGACTCTAATGGGGAAATTAGGACTAAAGTTCCACAGCAGAAGTGAGGATAAGTGTGTTTAATACTTATTACCTAATGCATCTCTTAGTATATCCTTCCCTGTATAAGGTCAATAGAAAATTTCAAGAAGCCAGTCCAGGCAGGATTTATAATGGTTGAAATTCTTCAGGAATGAAATTTTGGATTACCTTAACAGGTGAAAATCAGTGACCAGCTGAGATGCTTGGTGAAGGCAAAGGGAACAAGAAATGGGTAGTGGAAGGAGGTAATTATAGGTGGTAGCTATTACTATATGATCTGTTACTGAAATGAGGACAGTAATTTCCTCAGCATTTTTCTGTTACTTTAAATTGTTAATTTGATTCCATAGCATTTAAGATACCAGATATCAAGGAGAAGAGTAAATATCACTCAAGAAATTTACCTCCTCCTTTGTGGAGGGCTTTAGTTCATTTTCAATTGTATTCAGCATAGCTGTTTAATGTAAGGCAATTTATGACCTTGCTACTGTTTTTATATGGAGATTAAATATGATTTAGGGAATTGTATATGGGTGTCATGTTGACAGTAAACAGATTTATGATTGTTCCTTTCTTTCATGTGTCAACTTGACTGGGTCATGGGATATCCAGGTATCATTTTTTTT